TATCCCTTGTGCCTAAGACTATTCTATAGCTCCACATGGCCTGAAATCAGCAAGTACCTTTTGAGCAGCAGGTGTGTGGATATGTGACTAGGACCTGTCCCCACTCCAGCTTGCCCTCTTCAGGTCTGGGTCAGAATGGGGAGGTCTGAACCCGTTATCAGGGCCAGGCCTCAGGTGGTTGAGCTTGGAGGAGATGGACAAGGCTCAGAATACAGTCTCAAGATGGTAGAAGAGCAGGTGGTTTGGCCCTGCTACCTATCACCTGCTCTCTCTGCCCCACAGAAACACCGACTGCGACTGGTGGCCACAGATGGAGCCTTCTCCATGGATGGTGACATTGCTCCTCTGCAAGAGATCTGCAGCCTTGCTGCCCGATATGGTGCCCTGGTCTTTGTGGATGAATGCCATGCCACCGGCTTTCTTGGGTCCACTGGACGGTGGGAACGTTGGAGGCCTGGGTGGGGGCTTCTGAAGGTGGATGGGAAGTCAGGAGGCCAGTGGCAATAGTGGTGGCTTCCTTTGCAGGGGCACAGATGAGCTGCTAGGTGTGATGGACCAGGTCACCATCATCAACTCCACTCTGGGGAAGGCGCTAGGTGGAGCATCAGGTGCCTACAGAATCCTATCTCTGGGGTAGAGAAGGTGGGGAGGGGAGGGCAGTATGGACTATAGGAGGGGTTGGGGCAGTTACTGGCCTCTGACTGGCTCCTCTTCACATTATTCTCTGTCTTCAGGGGGCTATACTACAGGGCCTGAGCCTCTGATATCCCTGCTACGGCAGCGTTCTCGGCCCTACCTCTTCTCCAACAGTCTGCCCCCCGCTGTTGTTGGCTGTGCCTCTAAGGCTCTGGACCTGCTCATGGAGAATAACGCCATCATCCAGTCTATAGCTGCCAAGACCAGGCGGTATGGTGCCCACAGGGTTGGAGCAGAATGGGGGAAGAAATGATAGCTGCACACTTTCTACCTCCTCTTGCCCACATTCCTTTTCCTCCCCGCCCGTCTCCATTACAGCTTCCCCCTTCCATCTCCTGTGCTCTTGTCATTCCTACTTTCCCATCTGCCCCTGCCTGTGCCTCACCTGCTCTTTGGTCTGCACTTCTCTGTCATTATCCCTTCCTCTCACAGGTGAACGTAGATCCTGGGCCTCCTCTTCTAGCTCTACGGCCTTCAGCTCCCTGTGATACTCAACTGTGTCCCCAGGTTCCGCAGTAAGATGGAAGCTGCTGGCTTCACTATCTCAGGAGCTGATCACCCCATCTGCCCTGTTATGTTGGGTGATGCCCGGTTGTCTTCTCAAATGGCAGATGACATGTTAAAGAAAGGTAAGAGGACTTGGGGCAGTGTCCTCAGAGAAAAGACTACTGAGCCTTCCTAGACCTGTGTCCCATTCCCTGCTGTCCACACCCTCTTAGGTCAGCCATCTGTCCAAACTTAACCAACACCAGACTACGAGGTAGCCCCATGTCTGTGAGCTCAGCATTCTCTGTGTAAGAAGGACCTGGGAACAGAAGGTCCTTATATCTCATGGCAACAAAGCCTGTCTACCTCTGAGTGCCTTTGCTATCTTTTCAGGAATCTTTGTCATCGGATTCAGCTACCCGGTGGTCCCTAAGGGCAAAGCTCGGATCCGGGTCCAGATCTCAGCAGTACACAGTGAGGAGGACATTGATCGCTGTGTGGAAGCCTTCGTGGAGGTGGGGCGGCTGCATGGAGCTCTGCCCTAAGCTCTGGGTAGGGACCAGCAGTGACAAAGGGGTCCCAGAGGCTCTGACCCAACCCAGACTTCTAGAGTGTGGTTGAAAATGGAGATACAACAATGTGAAAATTGGTTCCGCACTTTGGTCTGCTTTGTTCTTTCTGAGTAGGCCCAGTCCTGTGGCTAACCGATGAATCAGGCAGGAACTGGGTCTCTGAGGGCAGTCCCCCACATGAGGTGACTTCTTTTCCCAAACTCAGTTGGAATCCTTCGTTTGGGAGTTATCATTTGATTTGATACAGGCAGGTTCTATACTGCTGTGGAGGGCAGCTGAGAACATTCCTGTGGACCCCTATCTCAGTCTAACCTTTGTGACTTGTCTCCTGTGCCCATCCTAAGGACAAAACACAACTGCCAGATAGAAAGGGCTCCTGGACCTGTGTTTGGGAGAGGGCAAAGGATTCAGGCCCCAAAGAGAAGAAAGCAGATCGCCACTGAAGAACATCTAACTTTGTCCCTAATTCCATGGCCTTCAGCCCCGTGCAAGTCCCAGTTTCCCCCATTTTAGAGAGCTGCTGTTCCAAAGCCTACAATCTGATGGTCAGCCGCCAGAGGGCACAGCAAACTCAGACTTCATTCCTTGCCTGCCCCGCCTTCTAGAGCTGGGGGCCTTCAACCTGGCTGGTAGACAGCCTTCAGGCAAGGCCAGAAGGGCCGGTTTGCTGCTGTCAAGGCCCTGTCCTTTGTCTTCCCACAAGCTGACCTGTCTTTGCTGCAGGCACTGTGGGAGGAGGTGGGAGGTATCTGCTCTCCAGTTTTGAGTGTAGCTGCAGGCTCAGTGTGGTGGTGTGGCCTCTGGAAACTCCTTAATTTTCTGAAGAACTGAGGACAAAAGACCCTGCTTCACTAAAAACAGGAAACAAGGCCTCATACCTCCAGCTCACCTGTCTGGGTACCAGGGCATCTTGGGAGCGACAGTCAATCAGCTCCAACCTAACCCTGAAGATTCTTAAAAATGGGGAATCCTTGTTTGCAACCCAGTAGTGCTGTAAGGGTTGCAGACTGGCAGGAGGCAGTTGTGGCACATTAAGGGTAGGAATACCTGTAGACTGCCACCGGCAGGTAGAGTACCTGATGCCAGGTAAACCGCTGGACAGACTGTTGATGACCCAGCACCAGCTGGGGAGTCAGCTAATAGTGCTAGGCCAGCAGCTTGATGTGTGTGTTCTGTGCAGAATGACAGGCCATGCCTTGGAGCCAAGAGCAGCCACTAGGTAATGTGTGTGCCACACCCCGGCAGGGACAGAACACCAGACCCAGGTCCACCCATACCCAAGTGAAGCTGCAAGAAGTGTGATCCACCAGCCAGCAGCATAGCAAAAGAGATAGCTCCTGCAGTGCCCAGGTACTGCTTCTGGTATCATTCCCAAGAGGCCATTCCTGTAGCATCTGCACTGACCTCCTGGGCCTGCTGGCCATGGTGTCACTCCATGCTGTCAAGCAGCATGGGGCTCAGAGAGCCTGCTGCCCTGATCCAGGTTTGGATCATTCACCTTGCAACTACTCTGCCATCTAGAAGGGGTCGTAGGCAGTACCAGTACACAGAGCAGCCTCTTAGGGTGCCCATGTTCCAGAGTAGGCACATACGGATAGTCTTTGGGCCTCTGTGACAAGCTGTAAGTAAGGCATTGGAAAACTGGAGAACCAGTCCTCAACTTGCTGAGTCCAGGACTCAGGGTTCATTTCCAGGCCACACTGTCCTTGTCTTCTGCATCTGGCATGGGGCTGGCAGGAGTAAAGGGAGGAGGTGGGTGGTAAGGAAACCCTGGGGCTCCAGCCATGATGGTCTGTCCTCCGTGCCCCACAGCCAGGCTCTCAGTCACCTCTCCCCTCCACTGTATCAGCTCAGCCCTGTTGTTTCTCAGAGGCCTTTGTCCAACCCCTGCAGGGAAGGAGGGGGTCTGGAGGCCAGGCCAGTGGGGAGCTTCCAGGTCAAGGAATTCATCTGGGTCTGGGACTCAGGTATGGGTATGTGGGTCCACACTTGTAGAAGTCTTGCTGCATTGTTACCCACATCATTGTCCTCACACCATGTCTAGAGTCCTACAAGTGCCCTGTCCAGGGATCCCAACCAAGATGATGCCTTTTGGATCCTCAGCTTCAACAGTTCCACAATTGAGCTTTGCAGCTTCTACATCTGGTTCCTAATAGCTTCAGTTCAGTGAAGTCTCTGCATATGCAGCTGGTGACAGTCGAGAGGCCCCCAAGCCCTGGTAACTGCCTAGGCACTTCCCACTGGAACTGGTCTCCAAGAGTGTTCCGCAGTTCTTGTAGTCTGGCTTCATGGAATACTCATGTCCCCTCCATGTTCAGGTTCTAGGACTCTTTCCTTTCTGACTCATAGTAGACTGTCTTTAGCCCTTAATACACTTGTCCAAGATCCCCAGTGGCATCTGCTTTACTCCTGGAAGCACTTGGCCAAAGAGCACTCCTCCAAGGGCTCAAGGCAGCCATTCACCATCTCCTAACCTCTGGTTCCTGCCAAGGCAAGGCACTCTCAAAAGACCAAGAGTAGACATGTCTGCTCTTTTAACCTCAGCCATATCAAAGTCCTTACAAAATAAAGGCACAAGTCCTGTTCTACCTTTAGAACCCTCTCTAGCTTCCTTATGGCTTTCAGGCTCAATCAAGACTTGGTTTACAGTGGATGAAGCCCCTGAAACCAGCTAAGGAAAGGAAATGGGTCTCTGGGGTTCGTACCTGAAATCCACAGCAAAGACACTTTGGTTCTGGTTTCCCAGACTTGGAAAGCCCATTTAAACTAGAAATCCATTCTAAGCTTCGATCAGATTTCTACCGGGAGCCCGGGAAGCTAGGCAATAGGGGGAGGAGTCACAGGCAGGGCCCCAGGAGGTGGGAGGGGCCAGGAACAGGCTGAGCCCTGGGCATGGAGGGGTTAAACACAAAGCGGATCTCACCGAGCGAAATCAATGGGTTACTGCCTTGAAAGAGTGAGGTAGCAACAACGCAGGCAGGCAGAGAAGAGCCGGACAGACAAGAGCCTGGCAGAGGAGCATGCCACCCCGGGGAAATCAGAGTCTGAGGAGGAGGCTGGGCAGTCCATTCTGGAGCAGCAGTAGCAAGTACCCACATCTAACTCAGCAGACAGCGGAGCGCAGATGAGAGGAGAGGAGGGGCCTTGAAGACGAAGGAAGAGAAATAGGAAGCAGAGTCGTACCTGCAGGGAGTCACCAAGGGCAGCGGTTGAGCCGGTTGAGCCGAGAAGCTCCAGCCTCAGGAAGCATGCAGGGGCCCAGTGCCTAGGGCTGAGGTGGGTGCTGCCCATCCTGGGCTTGGGGGCCTGCTGCATGCTGGGTGCCACGCAGGAGGCAGGTATTGCCTTTCTTCTCTCCTCCATTCCTCCTGACTGTCTTGCTCCTCTTTCATCCCACCCCTCTAGTGGTCCTGGAGTGCAAGGGGATCCACAGGTTGTGAACTGTCGGGTGGAGCAGGGATGAACACAGGCAGTGTGCACACAGGCATGTGTACTGGGACATAGGTGAGTAGTCAGGGTACCACCTGTTAGTTTTCCAGGTGAGCACCCCATCGTAGGAGTCAGGGTCACAGCAGCTCCACTCATGCACCTCTCTATCTAGGTCTCAGTTTCCCTTTGTACAAAGCAGAGGCAGCAACTTCCAATCTTCCTAGCTCTGCCACAGTGGTGCTTCCACGAAGATGGACTCTCCAATGGCTCAGGGATGTCACCAATGGCCACAAAATGCCCCTAAATACACGGGTCTCCCATGAACTTCAGACCTGGTTGAGAACATCCAGTGTTTGTGCACCCCACCACCCCCACCCCTGCTCTAACATCTTGCTATTCTGTCTCCAGGTGCCTAAGTCCAGAGAAACCCAAATGGCCTTCCAGGCTCTGGGTTACAGAGGCGTTCCCTAGGAAACCAAACCAAGGAGTAGTGCTCACGTTTGAGCATTCATGCACACCCCCCCCCACACACACACACGCTAATGTGACTGTGACAGGTTTTTACTCACACAGTGATTTGTAGTTTTGCTCTGTTCTCTTCCATTTCTCATGAACTAACCAGGATACTTGGTCAGATCCAGGCTGGAGGATCGAGGCCCCTGGGTCAAATGCCTGGAGAGAGCCCTGGCCTCCTGTCTGAGGACCCATTTTTCTCTCTCCCCATCTGACAGGAAGATGGCTGACATCCAGAACATTTCGCTGGACAGCCCAGGGGGCGTAGGGGCTGTGGCAGTGCCTGTGGTCTTTGCCCTCATCTTCCTGTTGGGCATGGTGGGCAATGGGCTGGTGTTGGCTGTGCTGCTGCAGCCTGGCCCAAGTGCCTGGCAGGAACAGGGCAGTACCACAGATCTCTTCATCCTCAACTTGGCGGTGGCCGACCTGTGTTTCATCCTGTGCTGCGTGCCCTTCCAGGCGGCCATCTACACACTGGATGCCTGGCTCTTTGGGGCTTTTGTGTGCAAGACCGTGCACCTGCTCATCTACCTCACTATGTATGCCAGCAGCTTCACGCTGGCTGCCGTCTCAGTGGACAGGTGAGCTGTACCTGGGGCAGACAGGAGAGGGTCCTGGATAGACTCTTACTGGCTAGTGGAGGAGAGACTAGGGACTAGAGGTTGGTGGGCATAAAGGCATAAAGCCTCAGTGGTAACTGCCCTTTCCACCTCCACTGTGAACTTTTAGAGGACATTTCTGTGTCCCAAGTGTCAGCACAGGCCAAGTGTAAGGGTAAAATATACAGGAACAAAAGAAACTCCAGGGCCAGTTAATGCTAGCGTGTACCGCTAGTCCCAGCAAGCGCTATGGAGGCAGAGGCAGGAGGATCTCTGTGAGTTCCCGGCCAGCCCGATCTACAAAGCCAGTTCCAGGGCAGCCATAGCTATCCAGAGAAACTCTGTGGGGTGTGTGGTGGGGGAGAGGGAGGACAAAGGAAAGAAGGGCGGGAGGGAGGAAGGGAAGAAGGAAGGAAGGAAGGAAGGAAGGAAGGAAGGAAGGAAGGAAGGAAGGAAGGAAGGAAAAGAAAATCCCAATGCATTCTTCACTAGCTAAGTCCTCACACCTGGCCCACATAGCCCCCATGTCTGCTTCTGTGGCTCGAAACTCGGGTGAGTCATTTCTCTTTAGGTTCCTGCTAGACGCCAGGCAAGGTGGGTGGAATGGGGAAATTGAGGCAGGTGTGGGACGAGCGCGCGCAGGAGGCCCGGTCCCGACCGCTCGCCGTCTGACCCGCAGGTACCTGGCAGTGCGCCACCCGCTGCGCTCTCGGGCACTGCGCACACCCCGCAACGCGCGCGCCGCCGTGGGGCTGGTGTGGCTGCTGGCCGCGCTCTTTTCGGCGCCCTACCTCAGCTACTATGGCACGGTGCGCTACGGCGCACTGGAGCTCTGCGTGCCCGCCTGGGAGGACGCGCGGCGGCGCGCACTCGACGTGGCCACCTTCGCCGCGGGCTACCTGCTGCCGGTGGCCGTGGTGAGCCTGGCTTACGGGCGCACGCTGCGCTTCCTGTGGGCCGCCGTGGGTCCAGCGGGCGCCGCGGCGGCAGAGGCGCGCAGACGGGCGACGGGCCGCGCGGGGCGAGCCATGCTGGCGGTGGCCGCGCTCTACGCGCTGTGCTGGGGCCCGCACCACGCGCTCATCCTCTGCTTCTGGTACGGTCGCTTCGCCTTCAGCCCGGCCACCTACGCCTGTCGCCTGGCTTCGCACTGCCTCGCCTATGCCAACTCCTGCCTCAACCCGCTCGTCTACTCGCTCGCCTCGCGCCACTTCCGCGCGCGCTTCCGCCGCCTGTGGCCCTGCGGCCGCCGTCTCCACCGCCACCACCGTGCCCATCGCGCCCTCCGTCGTGTCCAGCCAGTGTCTTCGGGGCCAGCAGGTTGCCCCGGAGACGCCAGGCCTCGCGGTTGGAGTATGGAACCCAGAAGGGATGCCTTGCATGGTGGAGAGACTGGACTAGCCCTGTCCGCCCGAAGACCGCAATAAACCCTTCCTGCTTGGAGTCTGTCCTCTCCCCTGTATGACACAATGCTACCTAGGAGCGCTAGAGCCTGGCAGCCTAGCCAGGCTGCATCGCAGAGCAGAGGCAGAGTTGCAGCTCCAATCCAAGGGACGCGGTGGTTAAAATTGGTCCACCCAACCAGATACAGTGTCCCAAAGCAGGCAGCCTCAGCCCCTATTCAAACCCAGTCTGGCAGAACAGTCCATTCACTTTCCAGACCCTGTTTTCCTTTACTACCTCTGACTGGAACCCTTGGTGTTCCTGGCTCAAAAGAGACAATGATGCTGGGCTGCGGTATTGCCCACCTTTAATCCCAGTACTCAGGAGGCAGAGGCAGATAGGTCTCTGTGAGTTCGAGGCCAGCCTGGTCTACAAAGCTACACAGAGAAACTCTGACCCCAAAAGCAGAAAGAGAGAGAGAGAGAGAGAGAGAGAGAGAGAGAGAGAGAGAGAGAGAGAGGAGAATGAATATTCGCTGGGCCCCAGCTGGCCTCTTAAGGGCTTTGGTCACCCCTCCCCATCCCCACACACAGCTGAGAAAGGACTAATTAACCAATAAATCAGTCTTGCTGGGTCCCAAGCTGCCTGCTTCTGCCCTCCCTTTCCACATGTCAATAATGTTGATTAGCTTCGGGCCCTAATATACCTCCATCTTCTGCTTGGAGCACCCTGGGAAGGCCTCTTTCTGTCAGGAGGCAGCTGCTTGATGGTCATTATGACCTACCACCTGCTGCTGACACAGAAGTCAGAGCAGCAGGAGGAAGCTGAGATCAGCAAGGCAAGTGGCTGCTTCCAGGACCCAGCCAGTCCCCCTCACACTGGGCCTAGTGTTTTCTCCCATGATTCTGCCAATGTTCCAGTCTTAGTGAGACTCCCTGGAGGCAGGGAGTATGTTGTTGCCTCTATGTAGCACCCATGGTGGCTGTCACCACTTTATGCCCCACCCAACACTGATAGGCAAGGGGTAGTGTCTCCATTTCTTTGGGTGCAGGGAGGCAGATAGCATGACAGGAGACAGACATAAATGAGTGGCAGATAATAGTATCATTTAAATACAGATGGAAGCCCCCCCCCAGTATCAGCCCCTGAATGAAATATGGAACCCATACAGTGGTAAAGCATTCCATATATAAATAAAAATACAAGCCACACACACACACAAAACCAGGCCTTGAAAATAGGCACTATGACATATGTTGTATAATCAGCAAATTTATAAAGACAAAACCCATTTGCCATTTGCTTGGGTCTGGGAGTGGTGGGGAGAAGGAGATGAGAATGCTAATAGGTGCTGAGTTTCTTCTTAGGTTGATGAAAAAGGTCTAAATTAGATCACCAGAGCTGTCTATAGTTCAGTTGAGAGAGTGCTTGCCTGGTGTATAGAATGCTCTGGGTTAAATCAAGTTTTGAGTTCAATCCCCAAAAGGTGGTAGCCTACATATAATCTCAGCATTTGGGAAATGGATGCAGGAGAATCAGAAGTTCATGATTAGTAGGCCAGATGTAGTGGTGCATGTCTTTAATCCTACCTCAAGGAAGGCATGCATGCATCTCCCCTATATGATTTTGAAGCTGACTTGGCCTATGCAGTGAGTTACAGGTCAATTAGGGTGTAGTAATAACCTGTCTCAAAAAAAAAAAAAAAAAAAAAAAAAAAAAGAAAGAAAGAAAGAAAGAAAAGAAAAAAAAAAGGTGGGAGGGAGTGGTCAGAAAAGATAACTCATCAGATAAAGAAGCCTGCTGTCAATCGTGACAACCTGAGTTTGATTCCCCAGATCCCACACTGTGAAAAGAGAGAATCCACTCCTGCAAGCTGTCCTGACCTTCACATGTGTGTGCTGGCATGTTTGAACATGAACACACTCTCCCTTCACATACATGCATACAGATACATAACTTGTTGTTAAAACAAAAATAACTGGGATGCTTGGTGCACAACTTTAATTCCATCACTCAGGAGACAGAGGTAAGCAGATCTCTGTGAGTTTGAGGCTAACTTAGTCTATGTAGCAAGTACCAGGCCAGCCTGGGCTACACAGAGATTCTGTCTCAAAAGGCAAAAGTAAAATACAAGTAGATTATGATACTATGCAACCATGGAACACGCCGACACCATTGAAGTATACAGATAAACTGGGTGTAATTGACATGCAAATCATATTTCAATAAGTACATTTGAGGCCAGGCAGTGGTGTCATACACCTTTAATCCCAGCACTCTGGAGGCAGAAGCAGGTAGATCTCTGAGAGTTCTAGACCAGCCTAGTCTATAAGAGCTAGTTCCAGGACAGGCTCCAAAGCCACAGAGAAACCCTGTCTCAAAAAACAAAACAAAAAAGTACATTTGAAGTATGACACTAGACCCAGGGGACATTTTCAAGGCAACCCAGCATCTTTGAGTAAATACAGAAGGGTGGTTGAGAGAGCTCTCAGAGACAGTGCACACCTGCAAAGTAGGAGTGAAGACAGAAAACCCCTAGGCTGGCTTACAGGAAGTGAGTTCAGCCACCCAGTAGTCCTCTGTAGTTCCCAGCAGGTGACCCACCTAGAACCTTTGTGAACCAGAGAAGTTAATGGTGTCTAGGCCCCATCACAGTGGCCTGAGACTCTGATCATCTAGTAGAGAAACACTGGATAACCAGACCTCTAGCTGGCTTGCTGAGACTTGCTGCTTTTGAAGCAGGATTCTGGCTTAGTGCAACCACTCAGGGCCTATGGGCTGACCAAGGGAAGCCCAGGATGTGTATGTAGACAGGCAGTGGGTAGATGCTTGTATGTAATACAGGAGGGCAAGGTACCAGGGAAGAAAAGACTGGGCCCTGCCCATCCTCTTCTTTAGCCACAAACATCTACCCCACGCCTGACTTAAGAGAAGCCAAAGACGGCCTGAGTTTATTATCTTGGCCCTGTCTGGCCCAACAGAATCTGGTGGGACAGGCCAGTGGCTCTTTGCTGGGGAATTTGAAGCAGAAGGTTTACAAGTTCAGTGCCTGCCTAGGCTATACAGTTCGTTCAGGGCCAGCCTGGGCAACTTAGTGAGACCTGTCTCAAGAAATAGAGAGCCAGGGATATAGCTCAGTGGTAGAATATTTGCTTAGTATGCATGAAGCCCTGACTTCAATTCCCAGTACTGCCAGAAAGAGAAAGAGGTCCTAACAGAAGAACACACTGACCTGAAATGACCCAGAGAGCAAAGTTCCTGGACAATGCAAACAGGAATTCCTGAATGTGTTTGTACATGTCCATTTGTGTGCATGGTGTATAAGCCAGACATCCAAATCGGATATGTTCCTGAATTGATCTCTATCTTATTTTCTCTCACTGAATCTGAGACTCCCCAATTTGGCCAGAAAATCCCTGGGATCCTCCTGTCCCAGTGTTCTCAGCTGTAGGATTATAGTCATGGCTTTTGTTTTGTTTTGTTTAGGTAGGCAGTAGGGGCTGGAGTGGAGGCTGAGTGAAACCAGGATGCTACCCTCAGCGGCCAAGAGAGGTCACCTGACTTGAGGCCCCAGCAACACTTATAAGGAGCTGTGTGTATTCACACTTGAGCACTTGCCAGGCACAGCAGGGAAGACATCTGGGACTGTGGAGCCCAGAGAAGGTCCCATCAGTGTGGACTTCCAGAAAAGACTTCCTGGAGAAGCTGTGCCCAAGGACAATTGTTAAATGTGTATTCATTGTGGCTCCAAGAGGAAGGCCTAAAAGACCATTTGCAGGGGCTACTGATGGGAAGAGCATATGATGGCACAGGGTCCCCACAGGAAGGGAGGCAAAGGCGGTAGGGACATTGTGAAGAAGACTCTGGGTTTCATCTGAACTGAAGACCAGATCCTGAGGGCAATGAGGAACCATTGCTCTGGTTCTGGAACCACAGTGATTTGATGAGGTTTCAGAAACTTTCAGTTGCTGCCAACATTGGCTTTTGTACAGCAGAACAAGACAGACAGGGGCAGGGACATCATTCAGGCTGGTGAAAATCCAGAGAGCTGGAGACATTCAGGACAAAGACAGTAGGGGACTCAAACAGTCAATCATGTGGGAAGTATAACTATTAAGATTGATGGCAGCTGAGGAAGAGAGAGGTCCCTCAGATGACACACGGGCTACTAGCTTGACCCCTGGAGTGTCAGTAAGGACAACTAAGAGGACAGATTCGGGGGAAGGTGATGAGCTTGGTTGAGACACATTAAACTGAAGTATCTAGGTGGGGTGGACTGTGGGGTCTTCAGGGAAATAGAATGCTACACCTGCCATGTTTTATTTAGTTCTTGGGCTTGGCTCTGGAACCTATGTCTCATCTGCTTTAGTTGGAAAGGTTGAATAACTTGCCCTAGACCACAGAGCTCAGGTCTATCCGATTTGGTTTCATATAGTCGTAGAAGTGGCAAGATGGAGCTGATTGGGAGTGGGAATAACTAGAATGTCCAAAGAAGGTGGCCTCCCTGCACTCAACCCTATGCTACTCCCATGATAGAGCTTCCTGACCCTGGCATAGCCCTATTCACCAGCCCCTCCGCCTGCTTTGGGCTGGCAGGGACAGCATCATCTATCAACTTCAAGGTGTGGACCAGGGGAAATAAACACCAATTAACCATCCAGCCTTCCTGTTAATGAACATCGCTTCCTGATGCTGGGCTCATTTTGTGGATTGCTGGCTGCAAGATGATGTGAGGCCAGCAGCACAGGCTGAGAGCTGGTTAACAGGCTAGACTGATCTTGGAGACATCTGCTTGGCAACAAGTTAAGTGGCTGATGATGTAGGGGTGAGGCTGGAACTGAAAGGATGGTTCTAGGACAGTGTGGATGGGGTAACCTGTGGGTGCACTGAGGCTCCCTCCACATTTGTGGTTCTGGGCGGTTTGGAGCTGGCTAGGCACTGGCCTCAGCTGCTGGGACAAACTAGAGTAGCACAGGGTAAGGGGGTGGTCTTTAGATTGCTCAGTCTGAATCCCAGCTGCTCTCCTTCAACAGCTGTGAGGCCTCTGGGTAGAACTGAGCTGCTTGAGCTGGCCTCCCTCCAAGGTACTATGATCTTGTTCAGAAGCTCCTCATAGGGGCCCTCCCTAGCCAAATCCACTTTCCCTTTAGTCAACCTCTCACCCTCTGGGATCCTCGCCCCACAGATCAGCCAGGATTATCGAGGCTCCTGGACCAGACCCATCACCTTTGACCTTGTCTTAGCCTCAGGTATGTCTTATCTACCAAACACATTGTACTGTGAGCTTGGCAAGGAAAGAGTTGGATCCCCCGCTTCTGGGCTTTTGGAAGCCAGGGGAGAATGCTAGAGTCTGACACTTCTGTGATTTCAAGCAAGTCAGTTTCCCACATCAGCAGAATAGGGGAATGAATACACACACACACACACACACACACACACACACACACACACACACACACACACACAATGACACTTTATCATAGACATTTGCTGACACAGAGGCACTCAATACTGTCACCCTATGTGAGGAAATGGATTGTGAGGGGACAGCATGAGTTTGAGGTAGATCCGGCTGCTGTGGTCGGCAGGGTGGGGGCCTCTGGCCCACCTGGAACATGTGAACATGTGTGGTCTGAGTAAGTGCTCAGTTTAAGGACTGTTCATGTTAGGAAGGAAGCAGTCAGGACCAGGTGAAACCAAGAGCCGCTCCCCTCCCCCCACTGCACCCATTCCCAGTCAGTGGCTTCCAGGAAGTTGGCTCCAGAGCCAACCAGGGACTGATTCAGCTGAGTTCTTTCCTGCCGCTGCCCAGTCCATCGCCCAGGGCCCACTTGTGTGTTTCCTGACTCACTCCAATATCTGAGTCGACTCTCTCTGGCTGGCTCTTCAGATTGATTCAGGCTTATAGGAAATATTCTGGCTGGAAATGGGACAAGGCAAATTGCCTGGCAGCCTGGCCAGAGTTTGATGATTAACCTAAAACCCACCTTCCTGAACCAAACCCTCCTTCACTGTCTGCATGACCACAGTGGGAGTTAGTACAGACACTTGCTGGGGCCAAGGGTGCTCTTGGGTCCTAGTCTGAAGTAACAGGGGTAGAAGATGCCGTCCTCATTCTTGGAGCCCAGGCTCAGGAATCAATTAGTCCCTGTGTCCTACTGTCTTTAGAAATTGAGTCACCTCAGCACACCCCTGGGGCAAGGTGTCCTTGGCATGCCTAGGCAGCCCCACAAGATCCTGGCCACTCTTTATGCTCCTGCTTCCAGGGAACCAAAGCTGGAGTCCCAATTTCAATTATGTAGATTTTTTTCAGATTATGTAGATTTTTATTTATTCTATATGCTTTGGTGTTTTCCTGCATGTATGTCTGTGTGAGGGTGTCAGATATTGGTTTTACATGTTGTTAGCTGCTGTATGGGTGCTGGGAATTGAACCCAGTTCCTCTGGAAGAGCAGTCAGTGCTTTCAACTACTGAGCCATCTCTCCAGCCCCTACTGTAGATTTTTCTTCAGGATGCCGGTGTGCACTCCACACAAACCTTACTCCTTCTGAGGTTCATGTTCCTTCCCTAACAGCCAGAGGGCCAGTAACCAGGCCTTACTCTTTCCAGGCAGTCTAGAGAAGGCCCACGGATGCAAGGCCTGAGTGGAGCCTGGTCCTTCCTGCCCCGTCTCTCTTCTGTCTTGGTCTCCAGCCTGCCCCAGGCAATGGCCCTGGCCCCAGTGAAGCCCCAAGAAGAGAGCAAGATCAAGTGCACCCCTGGGCCCCAAGAAGTGAAGGTCACCTGGAGAGTTGGTTACCCAGGCAGAGGAGAAAGTCTGTTCCATACACACAGTCCCTTGTCCCTCTTGTCACTCAGAAGGGACAGCAGTCTTGAGGCTGCTGAAGCACTTGCCCTCCCAACCCTGCCAGTATGGGGGACTTTGGCCTTCCTTCCCCACAGGGGTTTGGGGGTTAAAATCCCATCCAATTCTTCCTTCCAGGATCTGGAGAGTGGCTGAGTTTCCATTCAGTACTGGGCTGGGATCTGAAGATGGGCTTCTCTTCTGCCACTAGCTAGGGCTTTCAGCTTAATAAAAGAGAAAACAGAGCAATTCCAGGCCAGATGTGGACTGAGCTTAGAAGCCAGTGGCCAAATTCCTGTCTGCAGAGGCAGCCTCCCATGTAAGTCTCCTCACACCCCAGAACCATCTTCAGGATAAGATAGGGCACTGTTCAGCATTGAGTCTGAGTCCCTGAGTTTCTGTTGTCACTACAAGAAGCCACCACTAAAAAAGCCAGCTTAAACAACAGATTTATTCTCACAGTTCTGGAGGCTAGAAACTAAAATGTATCTCACTGAGCCCATGTCCAGTTGCCAGCAGAGCCAGCCCCTGCTGGAGGTTCAGAGGGCATTCCATTTGCTGTCCTTTTCCAGCTCCTGGCTTCCTCCTTGACGTCTCACCTCCACATGGCAGGAGTTACCTGCCTCCCTCCCACAGGCTCTCTGGGGTGATACCCATCTACCTAGATAGTCCAGGATCCTCTCTATCCTGTAAAGACCTTTGGTTATGTATCTGCTCAGACTCTTGTCACACCACCTAAGGCCTAGAGGTTCCTGGGATGAGGACCTGGGCACATGAACCACTATCTATCTCTGACAACTTGGCTGCAAAACATCCCCATCCGTAGTGTTTCAGTGACTGGGAGGGAAGGAGGTGGAGATGTTTCTTTGGGCTAAACAGGGTCCTTCCTAACCTCATGAAGGCCTAGGCATCAGCAATGTCCCTCTTCTACTCAGAGACACTCATGCAGTATGTCCTTGAAAGCCAGGTGCAGGGCTAAATTTAAGTGCTGGTGTAAGGGCCAGGGCCAGCATAGACACCCACAGCAGCCAGGGTGGCCTCAGAGTACCTACCCAAAGCCAGATGATGATAATAAGTCCATGGCTGGGAATTGGGGCTCTGGGGCTTGCTGAGGACATAGGGAGGCCACAGGAAGAGTGATGTCTGCCCATGGGCCTGGAATGTGGCTACAGAGGCTGGCATTATGCAGCAGGAGCTAGGGCTGTGATCCTGGCCCATAGAGATGATTCAGACTGTCTGGCAGCAGTTCTGCCCTCAGCATCTAAGGGCAAGGTAGAACTCGAGTCCCCTGGGCTTTGCCTGTACCAAGAGCGGAGGGCAGAAGGGTGATGACAAAGCAATCTTCCTTGCTACCTCTTCTCCATGTTCTGCATCTGCAGGCTGAGTGAGGTAAAGCTGGCCAAGAGGTCCGTCACTTCATCCACCTGCGGGGACAAACCCAGGCTGATCCAAGAGGGATCACCACAGACCACAGGCATTGCCTCTCTTCACGGCACACAAATGCTTCCCCCACACCTTGGTGTTTCAATGACTAGGATAGGGGTTGGACACTTGTGCTGGGCTTAGCTGAGTCCTTATCCAGTGAAGGCCTAGGTGTCAGTAACCCTTTTCTCTGACTATGAGTTCATCCTGGGCATTGGGTAGTCTGGGACTGACTGCCCCCGCCCCCACCCCCGAGAACAGGGACATGAGCACACACCAGCCAGCACAGCTTCCAGGAAGTGGACAGAAACTGTGAGGGCCATGGTGGTGGCAACACCCCAGGTCCTGTGGCTGTAGCTCACCTGCTCTTTGGTACTTGTCATCTGAAGGCGGGTACAGAGGTCATCCAGCCGTTCCCGCTGTTCATGCCGCCCCAGGCGTTCCAGGTACTCCCGGAGCATGTGGATAATCTAGAAGAAGAAGAGGAGCTGAGCTGTTGGCTAGAAGGCAGGCACAGGCCCAACTTGCCACCAACAGAATAATGGAGCAGGAATGTTGAGGTTCGGTGAGATCAGAAGTCCTAAGCCAGAGGCAGGTGGTCTGCTAAGTGTGGTATCCATCCAAGGGGGAATTGCTCACCTGCTTCACCTCCAGCCGGACAGCCTGCAGGCACTGGGAATGGCCCTCCTGTAGGATGTTCAGCTTTGACTTGGCCAGGTGTAGGGGCGTACGGCCAGCTCTGTCCAGGGCATCCACACGGGCCCCTGTGGAGAGGTAGAAGGAAGCATGCTGAGGATGCTGAGGATGAGAGAGAGAGAAGGGCAGGAAGAGGGGAGGGGACACGCACCTCCTCGAAGCAGTGTGGTGATGACAGGCACATGGTTGGTGCAGGCCGCTGTGAAAGAAGAGAGACTTAAGAATCATGACTGTGGCTGGGCAGTGGTGGTGCACGCTTTTAATTCCAGCACTCGGGAGGCGGAGACAGGAGGATCTTGGTGAGTTCGAGGCCAGCCTGGTCTACAGAGTGAGTTCCAGGATAGCCAGGGCTACAAAGAGAAACCCTATCTCTACAAACAAAGAAAAAAGAAAAGAAAAGAAAAAGAAAGAAAGAAAAAAGAAAGAAGAATCATGGTTTTGGAGAGCAGGGAAGAGAAGCTGTCTCTGAATGGTCTTGTGCCATGTTACCTCCTGAGATAGTGTCACCAAGGCAGTGTGCCCTATTGGGCAGGACTCAGATCAAGTTCAGTATTTCCCTGTATAGTTGGGGAGGCTGAAGCAAGGCTGGGGCCATCAAAGGGCTCACAACCCACTTCTTAGCAGAGGTGGTTGCCACCAGTCCAAGCACACAAACAGCACTGCCAAGTGCACAACCTACTGTGAATGGTCTGTGGAACACAGACTGTGGGAATGCACACTTGTGGTTCATTGTGCCAGGATGCTAGGCGATACTTCTGGAGCCTGCAGAACCCTAGCTTTTATATCTTAGAAGTCTACCTTGTGGTGGCTATTGAGGACTTACCCAGGTGCAATGGTGTATTGCCTAGACCATCCTGTTGGTTGGGGTCAGCCCCATGGTCCAGGAGAAGCTGCACTGAAAACAGAAAAACCCAAGATACACTGTTAGAGGTTTGCACCAACTAAACCTCATCCTGAAGCCAGTAAAAACTTCCTTGAGTGTAGAGTGCAGGACCCAGACATGGTTCCCCAGGCTGCTGCATGTCCTCCATCACTTATGGGATCTACAGGGTTTATGTGTAGGACCCCAAGGACTCTAGGAGTGTCTCTTGGCCTCTTGGTCCTATAGGACTGAGGAAAGTACCGGGGAAGGCCCCTGAAGATATTTCCTATTTCCCTGACAGCAGCACGCTGCGCTGAGAGTGAGGCCATACATGGTGCTGGGCTCCATGAACAGTCCCCCTCCCCTAGCAGTCCTGGGTCACCTCAACTTGCCAGGGCATGCCAATCACCCAGCTGGACTCACGTAGGTTAAGGACATTGTATTGGAGGGCCAGGCTGAGTCTCACAAAAGAACAAAAGCTAATTCCAGAGGAACTGGTCATAGATGAAATGTGATCAGTAACACTGTCACATTTCTAGAAGAAAACAGGAGACTATCTTGGTGGGAAGCCAAAGATTTTGTAAAGAGTCACACACAGAAAAAAAAAAAAAAAAAAAAAAACCCATTAACCAAAGGAAAGGAGCGACCAGCATACTGTAGATGGGTCTGTGACTCACTATCCAGGAGTCTGAGGCTGGAGGGTCTCAAGTTCAAGGCTTACCTGGTTTGTAGTGTGAGCTAAATGCCAGCCTGGACAACTTATTAGGACCTTGGTCCAAAGTAAAAAAGTGAAAAAGAGGGCTGGATATATAGCTTAGTGATGGAGCACTGCCAACATGAGTGAAGTCCCTGGATTTGATCCCCAGGACCACAAAAGAGAAAAGAAAAGAAGCTGGCCCAGGTGTGGCAGTGTATGCCTGTAATCCTAGCACTCAGGAGACAAGCAGGACGGTGAGCTCATGGTCATTCTTAGCAAGTGTGAGGCCAACCTGAACTGCATAAGACCCGTTCTCTCTCTCTCTCTCTCTCTCTCTCTCTCTCTCTCTCTCACACACACACACACACACACACACACACACACACTCACACACACTGGAATCATTAACAAGGACCTCTGCTTATTAAATGAATACTCACCAAGCTAGCCAGGCATAGTGGCACACATCTATAGTCCTAATACTTGAGGGCTCCTGTCAAAAGTCTTCCTTGTCCCATACCCTGGGCCTCCTGAGGCATGCAGACAGAAATTCTTTTCCCATTCTATTTAGAAGGATGTCACTGGCCTTGACCAGCTCCTCTTGCTTCCCCAGGACTCACCAATCTGGTCATTGCCATTGCAGGAGGCAAAATGGAGGGCTGTGCGGCCTTTGTCATCAGCTGCACAGGGATCCGTGCCATCTTCCAGCAGCTGCTGCACTGACCACCAAGATGGGGGAGAAGAAGGGTGAGAAAGCAGTAGTGTTAGCTATGCTGCAGTCCCTAGAGATGGACAATGATGCTCAAGGGCCCCTCTAGATGAGCCATTCACAATTCATAGGAAAGTTGGGCCCTCCTAGATGCTAGCCCCACAGGGACTACTGGAATTCTGTTATCTTAATGGCCATGGAGTCTGTGTTTAACCTGCGTGTCTAAAGATTGGACAGAACATCAGAAGAGGCTCTTGATCTTCATGGTAGGAACTGCAGAGTCACAGTAATTCTAACATAGGTCGTGATCCCATTCCTTTGTCTCTGCTTGGATACATATCCATTCCAGCTGGACACAGCTGCCCAAGCTACTGGATGGTACTTAGTTCTCAAGAGGTAGCACTTAAAGGGGACAGAGCACAAGCCTCAGGGACATACAAAATCCCAGGCTAAGCTAAACTAAGCAGGAAAGGAGTGCACAGCCATCAGCATGAGGTGGTGGTAGGAGCTTGGATGGGAACAGGCATGGAGGCCTGGACTTGCACAGCAGTCACCCGAAAATGGGCATCATCTCTGCGCTGACATCTGCAGAGCCGCTGTGATGGGGATAATGGATGTGCTATTCCTTCTCTGACAGTACAGGGGCCCTGAAATGGGGGAGACATTATGCACTAATTCCCCATGTCTGTGGGGAAAATTGCTGCCAGTCATTTTAGAGTCAGTTACGTTTTAGTCTCTTTCCCCCAGCTGCTTCCTGTCCATGCAGCTCTCCCCAGCTGAGTCAGCCTCTTTTCCCTCACACTTCTTCCATTTCCTGTTCCTTCTGTTCTTTAACAGCAGCACACTGTCCACTCTAGAATAGTGCTCACTGTATAGTGTCTGGGAATTCTGGCCAGTCATCAGCTTGACAATAGCCATGCAAATTGTCACATCCACTTCACAGACTAGGACATTTTGACCCAGTGAGACCTAAGGTTCAGAGGTCACAGTGACCCAAGAAACAAGAGGCAAGCGGGCTGCAAACCTGGCTCTCTGCTCCTGCTCAGCACACCACCGCTCTGTTTTGTGTTCCTGCCTGGATTTATTTTGTTTGGTTGGTTGATTTGGTTTTGATTTCTTTTGTTTGTTAGTTTTTTTTTTTTTTTTTTTTGAGACAGGATTTCTCTGTGTAGCCCTGGCTGTCCTGGAACTCACTCTGTAGACCAGACTGGCCTCAAACTCACCGAGATCCTCCTGTCTCTGCCTCCTGGGTGCTGGGATTAAAGGTGTCACCACCACCCAGCTGTGTCTGGGTTTTGAACTGGTGTTGTTATATAGACTTCTTCCTTAGCTAGATTACAGATTTATAGCTTTGGTATGATGCATAGTGCCCCATAAGTGCTGGCTCAGTTAGTGTTATTGATTGGCTGGCTGGGTATTGTGTCACATTCCCATAACCATAGCACTCTAACAACACAGGAGAATCAACAGTTCAAGGCCAAACTGAAAGACAGTAGTCCTAGTCCTTTCTCTTGCCACATACTAGAGCAATTTTTAAAAAGTGCCTGAAGGGGCTGGAGAGATAGCTCAGCAGTTAAGAGCATTTGCTGCTCTTCCAGAGGTCCTGAGTTTAAATCCCAGCAACCACATGGTTGCTCACAACCATCTATAATGAGATCTGGTGCCCTCTTCTGGCCTGCAGACAGAACACTGTATATGGGCTGAAGAGATGGCTCAGTGGTGAAGAGCACTGGCTGTTCTTCCAGAGGACCTGGGTTCAGTTCTCAGCAACCACATGGCAGCTTACAACTGCCTGTAACTCCACCTACAGGGGGTCTGACATCCTTACAGAGACATACATACAGGTCAAATACCAATTAAGTAAAAATAAATAAACCATTAGAAAAAAAAAAAGAACACATAATAAATAAACAAATCAAATCTTTAAAACAAAGAAAAAAAAGTGCCTGGGTGGGCAGGAAAGCTCAGTGGTATGAGCTGAGTTCAATTCCACATGGTGGAAAGAGGGAACAAGTACCCATAAGTTGTTCTCTGGCATCTACAAGCACAGACATGCCATCACAAACAACAAACGTTAAACTTGTTGCTCAAATAGCCTCAAACATTAAAGTTCAAGGAAAACAGACCAAGAAGTGGACAAACCTTCCAGGTTCTGGTCCTGCAACTATTGCTGTGCCAAAGGCAAGGGAACCATACGGAAATAGGTCCCTGTAGCCCTGTCTCTATTTCATACCTGCTGTAAGGAGGTACCTGTAACCATGGCCCTTCATCAATGTTCACATCTTACCTGTTGCCACAGCATCCCACCACCCAAGCAGAATGCTATACCCTGGAGGTAGGCAGAATAATGGCCCTCCAATTTTGTAGATATGTTACCTTCAAGGCAAAAGTAAGTTTTGTAGCTCTGCCCAAGGCTAAAGACTCTTAAAATATGGAGGTAATGCTGGATTATCCAGGCCCAGTGGAACCAAATAAATCCTTACTTTTCCTACTTCAAAAACTGAGATGGCAAGATGAGAACTCAGCCCACTGTTGCAGGCTCTGTAGAAGAGAAACAGATTCTTTCTATTACCCTCCAAAAAGAAATGCTGTCTGGCAGACAATTGAAGTTTTAGCCTGGCCGGGAAACCTGGGTTGAACATGTGACCTGCAGAACTATCCATGCTACTTGTGTTGATGAGCAGTAGATTTGGGCCATTTGTTGAGGCAGCTCTGATGGTCAATCCTAACTTGATTGTAGAAGTACCTAGGAGCTCAATACGTCACTGTGAACCCATGAGGACATTCTCAGAAAAGATTCGAGAAGAAGGGAATTCCTATCCTGAGTGTGGGCAGCACCATCCTGTGGAGCGTGGGCCCAGAAGGACAAGAAAGGGAAAAGGAGGGAGCCCGAGAGCACACGTATACTCTTTCTGCTTCCTGCCACAGTGACACTGACCTCTCTCTTTTGCCATGCCCTCCAGCAATGATCAATGCAAACTTGTTTTGTTTTGCTTTTTAATTTATTCATCTTTCTTGTGTTTGTTGTGTATGTATGGTATATTATTATGGTGTGTGCAAGAGCATGTGCCTATGCGTGTGTATAGAGAGACCAGAGGAAGGCATCAGGGATCTTCTGTCACTCATTACCTTATTTTTCAACACAAGGTCTCTCATTGAACCTACAGCTTCCTGCTTCAGTTTGGATGGCTGACCTCCAAGCTCCTGGGATCCACTTGTCTCCAATCCCAATACTGGGGTTACAAGCACAAGAAGCCATGCCTGACTTTTTTCACATGGGCCCTGGGGATCTGAACTCAGTGCTCTTACCCACTGAGCCATTCCCCAGACCAAACCTATTATTTTTATCTCCTTTTGTACCCCAGGCTATTTTAGAACTTGCTATGGTAGACCACACTGGCCATAATCTGTCATCCAACTACCTTTGCCTCCTGAGTGCTGGGATTAAGGGTATACCCCATCATGATGAGATGTGAATGCAGGAAGTGATCTGAGGACCAAAAAATCTAAGATCATGTGCCAAAAGTAATCTCCTTCCTTAGGCGCTATTTTGTCACTGTGACAAAAGTCTGACAATACAGCAGCCACAGTAAACCAACATACGATTTTCCCCTGACACACGGGAGGTATTGTTAGAGGATTAAATAAGTAGCTGTGGTAGTAGCAGTAGTATTTGTCCTAGAAGGTGTCCTTGTACCTCCAATGCTCTACCTCAGTTACGGAATGCTCAAGAGCAGCAACAGAAAGCCAGCTGCAGTATCCTGTAGGGAGCTCCATACATACTTGTCAGATGCCCTGTCAATAACTGAGACCCAGTTACTAGACAGCCAGGGGTACCAGATGATCACCCAGCAGTTAAGGTGGAGTGGTCACTCCTGGAAAAGTAGGCATTTGCTTTTTGCTGAGGCGTTGCTGAATCCCAGGTATTAAACACAACCTGTTGCCCCTAACATCAGAAAGTACACAGGGTGAGGAGCACTATGACATCCGGAGACTCTGGGTAACAGAGGAGCATGGTGAAAGAGTACTTACACCTTACTTCTGTTTTGCACAGTGATTTCAGGGTCACGGAGTAAATACAGTGAGCATTCTCTGAGGGAATGAGTGTGAGCTGGCAGACTTCCCAGATACAGGGTATTTGGCTTTTTCCTTCCCCTCAGCCCATAGATCCCACTGTGTACACTCACCTGTTTCTATATCATTGGCATTGGCAGAATCCCTCAGCCTCTTCAGAGCTATAAAGAGAAAATTAACAGTTACAAAAAAATCGTAACAAAACCAGAAGGCACATGACTTCCTAGTGTTCCCTGATATCCCACCCTTTAGTCACAGCAACACAAAGGCAAAGGTATCTGACAAAAACCACCAGCCTGGAAACAAGGAGAAACTGGAACTGGGCCAGAGTTGGAGGAGAGACCAATTTCTGTAGCAAACTGACTTCTGGAGCCAGATATAATTTCTGCCACTTGTGGTAGTTGGTGACCTTGAGCATGCCAGTTACTTACCCTGGGCCCCAGCCCATCATCCATAAAACAAGGCAGAATTGTTCTGCCAGCTCTTAAGTTGTTGCAAATTGTGATTTTTTTTTTTTTAAAGAGAAAGACTGAGTAGGTTTAGTCCTTTGTGAGCTAACTGCTTCAAAGCACCTCATTCCTGAATGACTGACCAAACTCAAGTAATTCCTAAGCAGAAACTCCCCTCTTCTTGCTGATACCACTTTTACTTTAAAACTAACAGAAAGCATTACCTTTGTTGTTAGAGAATGGTCAAAAAAAAAAAAAAATGCAAATTAGATATGACAATTGCATGCATCCATATACCTCTTTTTTGTTTATATAGCACTTTGCAATTCTCGTTTAATCTTTTTAGAGACAGGGTTTCTCTGTCTAGCCCTGGTTGTCCTGGTCTACAGAACTGACTCTGTAGGACCAGGCTGGCCTAGAAGTCACAGAGCTCTGCCTGCCTCTGCCTCCAGAGTGGTGGGATTAAAGGCATGGGATACCACTGCCCGGCCCTCTTTTGATCTTTATAACACTAAGGCACCAGGTCAAATGATGCCAGTCTGAAAAGAAAGCTTAAATTTTTCTAATATTAATCCTACTGCAACCCATTTTCCTTTAACCATAAACCATAGAAAACAATATAGCAGGCATACCAGGGCAGCCTGACTGATCTGGGCTAGAATACTGGTGTAGCCTTTTTCTATGTGACTTGAAATCAGAATGTCCAAATGGTAATAACTGACTCAGTGGAAAAAGATGCTTGCTACAAAACCTGACCTCCTGAGTGTAATCACCAAGATTCATACACTGTGGACCTGGAACACTTAGATCAGGCTAGCCTTGAACACAGAGATCTTCCTGCCTCTGCCTCCTCAGGATTACTGGCGTACTACCACACCTGTCTCCTTTTCTCTCTCCTTCCTTCCTTCCTTTTCTTTATTTTTTTGGTTTATCAAGACATGGTTTCTCTGTGTGTCTGTGCAGCTTTGTAGACCAGGCTAGCCTCAAACTCACAGAGATCCACTTGCCTCTGCCTCCCGAGTGCTGGGATTAAAGACACGGACCACCATTGCCAGGTTCTGGCTGTTTTGCTTGTGTACAGTAAATTCTGTACAAGTAACTTCTTATGGGTCACAAGAATCTCTTGGAATAACTATAAAAGGCTGTGTATCAAACAAGTGTTTGGTCCATCACAAAGATAGATCAGAACTTTACCTAACTCTTAATACCCGAGGAAAGCTGGTAGTATACCCATTCTACAAGTAGAAAGTCGAGGTCACAAGTGTCTGTAGGTCGCGTGAGGGCCAACTGTGGAGCAGTCTGATTCAGATCTCTGCATTTACACAAATTGGGATAGCGTGGATACAGGCTCTGGGCTCCCTTCTCTAATAATAAAAATATTCTTTACATTATTGTCTACTAACAATCACTCTCGAGAGTGGAAAGTTTTTATTCAGTGATGCCCAAGTGGCTGAAGCCACGGTCCTCAGCAATTATTCACAAGCGATCCCAAGATCCCTGGCTAAACTCACCGTGCACCTCCTTGCCCGTGGGCCCGAACCGGCGGTGGGGCCTAGCGACGCGCCTCAGCCGCCCGGCGGGAATCTTGCAGCGCAGTTCGTCGCGGGGCTCAGCGTCCTGCTGCCACAGGACCTGCAGGTAGCGCAGCGGGGACTGGGCCCTACCGGCTGCACAGCCCGGATGGCCTGCGCCGCCGCCCAGCGCAGCGCCTAGATCCGCGAAGGAGAACAGGCCTCCGGCTTCCGCCAGCGGCTCCGGTGCCACCGCGCACTCGCCGTCGGAGCTCGAGCGGCCAGATCCCGACTCGTCATCTGCGACCCCGCCGGTGGCTGCCATGGCAACGGCTAGGCGCGGGACTGGCAGCGCCAGCCTCGTTCCGAACCGACCAACGGACCCACTTCCTTCCAAGAGAAGCCCCGCTGTCAGCGAGTGAGTGGGCGGGGCCTGCAACCACAGCAACAGAGTGCGGGCAGGTCGGGCTGTGTAGAGTGTCAGTCCAATCAGAGTTCGCCGAACCTGCACAGCATAGCCAATCGGGCAAGGAAATCAGAATATAAAGAGAACATTGGTTTACAGCAGTTTGACTGGCGTGTAAGTAAGCCAATCATATATAGGATTGCTACGCACTAAGCGGTCTTGCTACAGGAGCCAATAAAAAAGCAGAGTTCAGACTACTTTTCCCCACCCTTTTCTTGCAGTGTTTCCTATCCTAGATCCGGAAGGACAACTGGCAAATACTTTAGCCAATCACCATAAGATGCTCTCCAGCCAATCGGAAAGTGAAGAAACAAAACTACACTGTTGTGTGTTTTCAATCAATGAACACATGTACACAGAAAGAGATTTTCCACAAAACGCACAATGATTTGAAGGTATCACCACGAAGCAAGCGATAATATCTTCTAATGTAATATATTTCCCTTTGTCAGGTTTCTCTTTTTCCCAAGGGGGTCATTGCTTTAACAGAATTTTAATTCCAAGTAATTATACAAGAGTGATCCTTCAGTAGGCAAATTTGCTCAGAACTACTATTTTTCAGCCTTGAAAGGGCTACCAAACACAGGCCTGAAGTGACCCAAGAGGGCTGCAAGCACACACACACACACACACACACACACACACACACACACACATTTGCATTTGGTCAATTCATAAATAAAATAGAAAACACTTGAAAGACCAAAGACCAAGTAAATAAATACCTGTATCATTGTCTTGTGGGACTTCAAGGACATGAGTTCTAGTCCTGTTGTACCCCATATTTGTGATTTGGGGACAACTTCTTGGAGCCAGACTTTTTCTCCAGGTGTTTTTCTAGGTTGGATATGAGTACCAGCGCAGGCTAGATCCAACAAGTTGCCTTACCTTTCCATCTTTCTTTGCCTCGACCGGCTGGCATTTACAGAATATTAGGGAAATTTGAACTGGTTGTCAGCATTAAATATTTGACTGCTGATGGGGCTGGAGAGATGACTCCCCAGGTAAGAGCATTGCCTTGCTGTTGCAGAGGACCTGGATTCGATTCCCAGCACCAGCATGGCCGTTCACAACTGTCTGTAATTCCAGTTCCAAAGTAATCTCTCACCCTCACACAGACATACTCTCATGCAAAACACCAGTGCATGTAAAAATAAATAAATCTTTAAAAAAAAAATTAGAGCTGAGAGATGGCTCAGAAATTGAGAGCCCTTCCAGAGGTCCTGAGTTCAGTACCCAGCAACCATATGGTGGCTCACAACCATCTGTAATGAGATCTGGTGCCCTCTTCTGGCCTGCGGGCATGCATGCAGAGAGAACATGGCATATATAGCAAAAAAAGAAAAAAAAAAAAAGAAAGAAAGAAAGAAAGAAAAAGAAAAAGAAAGAAATACATTTTGAAAAAAGATTTTAAAAAGTTGAAAGCTGAGCCAGCAAGATCGACTGGTTCTCAACCTATGGGTCACACATGACACTTTCACAGAAATAGCCTAAGACCATCTGCCTATAGGATATTTAGACCATCTGCATATCATATATTTACAGTAGCAAATTACAGTTATGAAGTAGCAAAGAAAATAATGTTTGGGGTCACTACAACATGAGGAACTGTATTAAGGGATTGCAGCAGTAGGAAGGTTGAGAGCCACTGGTTCAGCAGGTGAGAACTCTTGTTGCAATAGACTGACCACCTGAGTTTGATAGCAAAACTTGTGGAGAATTTATCCTCTACACTCACTGTTTCCCTTTCTCCCTTCCTCTCCTTCTCTCCCTCCCCCCCCACTCTCACACAAGATTAATAATGAAATTTTAAAATAACACTTGGCAACGAGACAGTGGTAGCACATGCCTTTAGTCCCAGTACTCAGGAGGCAGAGGCAGGCAGATCTCTGATTTGCCTGGTCTACAGAGTGAGTTCCAAGACAACCAAGGCTACACAGAGAAACCCTGTGTCAAAAAATCAAAACAAACAAAAAACTACAAATAAAATAACACTTGGCACCTTCAAATAACATTTTTATTGGCATTCTCTAAAAATGAGAATCAAGCACCCTGACTACTGAGTTACACCTCAGCTCCTGCTCTACACAGTAGTCTATATTCTGACACCAGTTCACTTCCAATGGAGGCTGAAAGGCAATTGCCGCTTCCTGTCATATTTGTAGGAAAGCCTTTTTGTCTTTCTTTCTTTTCTTTTCTTTCTTTTTTTTTTTTTTTTTTTTTTTTTGGAAGACATGGTTTCTCTGTGTAGCCCTGACTGCCCTTGAACTTACTTACTCTGTAGACCAGGCTGGCCTTGAACTCAGAGATCCCCCTGCCTCTGCCTCCCAAGTGCTGGGATTAAAAGCTTGCACCACCACTGACTTAGAAAGCCTTTTTTTTTTTTTTTAAGGTTTATTTTTTTTTTTTTTTACTGTGTATAGTGTTCTGTCTGCATGTATCCCTGCAAGCCAGAAGAGGGCACCAGATCTCATTATAGATAATTGTGAACCATCATGGGGTTGCTGCTAATTGAACTCAGGACCTCCTGAAGACCAGCTAGTATTCTTAACCACTGATCCATCTCTCCACCACTAGAAAGCCTATTCTTAAACTGAGTTAGCAGGAAGCGAAAATGTTGCTTTTCCCTCTCAAAAGTGGAATAATGAGGCAGGACACAGTGGCACACACCTTTAATCCCAGCATTCTGGAGGCAGAAGAAAGTCGATCTTTGTGAGTTTGATGCTAGCCTGGTATATTTTGTGAGCTCCAGGGCAGCCAGAGCTAGAAAGTAAGATCCTATCTCAATAAAATACATCTTTTTTATTTTATTTTATTTTATTTATTTATTTATTTATTTTGAGACAGGGTTTCTCTGTGGCTTTGGAGGCTGTCTTGGAACTAGCTCTTATAGACCAGGTTGGTCTCAAAGTCACAGAAATCTGCCTGCCTCTGCCTCCTGAGTGCTGGGATTAAAGGCATGCATCATCTATCCTTTCTTTGTGAGTTTAAAGTCCTATATTTAACTTATCTTTAATTCTAACTAAGGAAAACTATAACCATAACTATCTGTCTTCAATTTCCATCAAAGACCACAGAAGGATAGTATATAAACTCTAGAAATGACAGAGACATCTTGCTACCTGATCAGTCACCTGAAGTTCTGTAATGTTCCATCTTCAGCCCGTAAGCCATAGTGTGTCTGGCAGATTCCTCAGCAAAGCAGGAAACTTTAAACTGTTCACCTGTATTGGCAGTTTGTCAGTTACATTTCTCTGTTTCTATAGACTGTCTGGCAGACTCTTCCATGACGCAGGAACCCTGTAGCAATGTCCATCTTGAATCAGAAGTTGCTTTTTAGGGGGTCCTGAATGTCTAGTTTATACAGCATAAAGTTAAACAGTCCAGGCAAGAGCAGTATCTTGCTCAAATGGGTAGTCTTGCCATATTAAAAGTAAACTCCATAATGTGTTTCTTCAATATGCATCTTCCTTTTTGACACAGGTGGTGTTGCCAGGAGCAGTTATGTCTCACTGTTAAGAAAAACCATAAACCATTTTAAATGTCATATTCTGTAGGTCTTCAAAAAGTTTGAAGAATGCCTATCCATTTGAAATATATCTCTGTATATCTAGAAAACCTAACTCACCTAACTATAAGTTTTGACTATTATAGATAACTATCTATAATCTGTACTAAAGTATGCATTACATTTTTAAATGAGCTATATAAACACAACACCTAGACAAGAGGAGAAATATACATATCACAAAACTGACCTTAAGTTTGTATCAATAAATGAAAATCCGTTCCAAAGCAAAGTATTCATATCTATACCATAATCCCCTGTTTACCTTTAAAAAGAGATTGGTTGTGGTCATTAAACATTTATTACCAAGCCCATTTAAATGAAAACAAACATTTATAGACAATATTTGGGAATTTGGGCGTTGTTCTTTCCAAACTGCTTCCTGCTGGTAGGGGGCGCTGTCATGAGGCTCCTAAGAAGACACAGAAAACCTGGCTGTAGTGGTCTGCAAGGCTGGCTTGTCCTAGCTGTTTTGAATGTTGGATCACCTGGGATGCTGCTTCAGGAGGTCTTGCTTGATCAAACCATGTTAGCCTGGAAGGAATCCACAGCTTTTCATTTTCTGTGGAAACAAAAATAGAAATCCTTTTCCCCAGTAACCTATTCTTAGACTCAAATTTTGAAATCAAAGCATTTTCAAAATATATAAATTGGAATAATCTAGCAGCATTTCTTTAATAGTCAAACAATTTAAAGACAACACAATACTATACGGTATCCAGACTCTTTTTGTGTTTTTTATCTTTATGTGGCTTTTTTATTACTCTATTTCTTTTATTTCTATTTTTTATTTGCTGAGACAGGGTTTCTCTGTGTAACTTTTATCTGTCCTGGAATTAACTCTGTATACCAGGTTTTCTTTGAAATCACAGAAATCTGCTTGCCTCTGCCTCCAGAGTGCTGGAATTAAAGGAGTGTGCCACCACACCCAGCTACTCTCTCCAGCTGCTTATACACAGTAGTGAACTGTTAGCAGTACTTCTTAAAAGCCATGTGGTTTTTTTGCCACTTATGCTGAGTCAGGAAACCTCCCTTAAGGAACCTCGCAAATTTCTGCTTGTCTCTAGCAAAACAGAGTCCAACTGAGAAAAAATGCTGTTACTAAGAAGACTTGCTTGTCTCTGTTCTTTTGTTTCTAAAACCCTTTCTTAAGGTTTGTTAAGTTTTAAGTGATAGTTCTTAGTTGCCACTTTGTGGCGCCTTTTTGTTACAAGCATGTTTTCCCACCATTCTGGTCCCACAACTGTGCCAGCCCCGAATAACACACAGAGACACTGTATTAGATATAATTCTGTTGGCCTGTCTTAAGTATTAACCAATTTCTATTAATCTAAGTATTTCTACATGGTCTTATCTTACTGGAGAGAGGATCAGGACCTCTGTCTCTTGGGCCT